AGGGTATGACAGAAAATAAAGGTTGTCGATACTTATTTACGTTAACATGAAATAGAAGAAAGTTTTCGAAACAAGCGTAAATCAATCAAATGAGAGAAATATTTCCGTGTAAGTGTACATCAAAACTAACTGTAAAAGATGTTTATAATTTTATTGTAAGCAATTACTCTACCTTTCAGTTTTAACAGTATATCTTTTGATATTTCTATAGGCGGATATATATGTATATATATGCAGGTGTTAGTTTACACATTCATAACAAATTGATTTGTACAATCATATGTATGTGTGTATGTAAACTCATTTACATATTTCCCAGGGAGCCCACATAGCTAGCACCCGGTAACCATCTTTTGACAGCGCCATTTTAACGAAATTCCGAATCGCCTAATCGATATATGAAATCAAGCCATATTTTCTAGTTAATGTTTTGAATAGGTCCGTGACTTATGCCTGTGTGTAAAACTTCAGATGTATCAAGATGCTTCAGCTGTCGAAGCGACAACGAATATGAATACAAAGTTAAAGCATAAAATATTTTAAGACACTGTTTAAGCTATTATTTTCAAACTGATGACGAATGACACTTATTTACTCACAGACGGGCAATCATTACGTTGCACAGTGGAAACTTTTTATAAAAAATATATACAAATTTTAAGTCAAAAAATTCGGGACAAAAACTAAAGTTTTACCAATCTCTTTCAAAAAATGTTTGCAATTTTTGGTAAAAGTTTGGAAATTCTGTTAAAGAACAACACTTTTGATTTCCAATTCCTAGCGTATGAAAGTAATTTTATTACTTAAATACGCATATAATATATAATAGTTATAAAAAAATCTAAGTTTCATTGTATGTTTTTATAGTGTCAAAGTTTTGTTTTAGTCAATGCAAGTTGGAATTATGTTTCGATATATCTTACATGTTTATACAATAAAAATTTTAATCTTTAAGTTTGTCTTTCACTTTTTCTTATCGATTCTTAGTGCGACCTCAAGTAACTATACACTTTAACTTTTACAAAAATAATCTAACCGAGGGGAAATGGTATCATAGAGTTTCGAGAATTGCTTAATAAAAAATGCTACAAGCCCTAAACATTTATTTAATTAAATTTTGCTCTGTTCGGAAACACTGTACATTATCATGAGCACAAAAAAAAGAAGTCAATAGGCAAAAGCAGACATATGCACTGGGATCCATATATATGGTGTCGGGGTCTTTGAAAAGTTATAGTCCGATTTCAACAATTTTATTGTAATAACTTCATTGATTTGTGTACTGTAATATGAAGGAGTCAGATGGATTCAGATGGTTGTTATATGGGAAGTAGGCGTGGTTGTTATCTGATTTTATCCTTTCTTACACTGTATCTTCTCAACAATTTGGTTGATTTAACTTCAGAGTTTTGGAAGATATGTATATTAAGCCATTTATGGCGCGGGGCCACGCAAACTTTTAAAAAGTTTTTATCATAATTTAGTGCTTTGTTATGGATCTATATATGTTTTCGCTTAACGACACTTTGTGGGCGCAGTGATAGACCGATTCCGCCCATCTGCAATACCAACCCCCATTGAGCGACAAGGAACACGTGGACGAAGTCCTTCAAAATATCGTTACATTTACTTAAGTTATCGCTTGTACGGACAGACGGGCAGACAGACAGCCACATGGAATTCAACTCGTCACCTAATTTGTTGTATATGTATATATATATATATATATATGTATCGATTAGTTTTTGGCGGTGACTCCTTGTCGTTGCAGTTGATCCATCTAATTTATATTCTACGATTTTGTTCAGTCTGTCAACAGGAAACATCACGAGCTGCAATGATTAAAATACAAGCATTCGAGTTTGCCACACGCCACACGTCACATTTTTTCAGTCCATTCTATTTGGCATTGAAACGATTCAACTGGACGCCCAGTCAAATGTGTGTTTTTGCTTTTATTTTATAGCATCCATCTTTTACCACTTCGGACTGAGTGTCTGCGAATTGTTTGCTTACATTAAACATAATAAAATGTGGATAGAACTGGTTAATAAGTTAAAGTCCAACAAAATTAAAAACCCACTTAACGAAATAAAACTGCAAATACTCGTAAAAATGGGAGAAGGTAACAGGGCATTTCAGCGTGTTGCTTTATTTTGAACCTTCTACCTTTAGATGCTGTCGCTGCGTCCCTGTAACGTTGCTGGGCCGCAAAGTGTTGCAGCGTGGCTAAAGTGGTTGCCGCTCACCTGCTCTTGCACCGGTACCTGTACTCTGCCGCAAACAATCTGCCAACCAAGCGAACATACATACTCCATTCAATTGGAATAATGGCGATTAAGCCTGCGCAACTTTTGCGGCTCGAATGTTTGTTTATCACGGTTAGTGCAACACCAAAAAGCCCGAAAAAATTGTCGCCTTTATCGTGTTGCTATTCTGTAGTTCCTTCGCGAATATTTTGTGTTCGTATACATAGCATAAATACACTGATGTGTAGAGGTTCTTAATTGAAAGACACATACGAGTACGCAAATTATATAAAAAGTGCTAGCATTGGAACGAATTCGACACTTAAGTAAATAGGGAACGTAGATTGCTCACGGTAAATCGCTTAAATACCCAATATACTCAAATATTTTTCGATTTCGGGTCTGACAAGGTATACATATATCTGCCTAAATCGGAGCGATTTAATAATGTTGCAATGGGTAAAGAATGCAGCCCTAAGCTTGGTCATTATGGATTGAGTGACTATACTGGAAGGAACTTGTCTCAGCTCGGTGGAAATAAAAGCTTTCTGAAGCCATATGAAGCAAATAAGCACTGATTCTTTTATCCTATCTAAGAAAATGCCAGAAAAAGATCTTAAACTAGTTTTCTTTGGTTTATTGAAATCTAAAAATTAAAGTATTAATTTTTTTCAGCTAAACTACATTTATACACATATTATGGATGGAAATAAATTAGACCAATATAAGCCACTTGATCTCATAAATTATATTATTATATATTACCTTGGTTGTCTCAATAGATGGCACACAAATTGATTGACGAGATAAAAAGAAATTCGCTGAATTAAAAAATTCGCTGAATTCTCATGTTGGTGTTTCACCGAGACTTACCATATAAAGTATGAGTTTCAATGAGTTGTTAAGAGTTTGTATAAATATTGAATAATAGTACTGCAAATACGAAATATGATAAATCCTATAATAAAGTCTCAACGACCATTATGCCTACTTTTTTATATTTATATACATATGGTATAAATAAATGATACAAATTCGAAACCATTTCTACGAGGTTTTAAAATTTTCATTACAAAAACTCAAAGATTCTTATTCCAGCGAAATCAAACAATGTAAATGTATTTGAAATCAACTTCAACATCTTTTTTTATTTGTACGTAACATTTTATTACAATACTAATACCTTTGAACCTAACCCTGAATACCCTTATGTACAGAGGAATTGTTGATATATTATATATAACATTTTATTGACGCTGCTTTAATTAAGTATTTGTGGTTTCTGAGCATTGTGGATCTACAAACAATATTTTTTCTCTATTCAATGTCGTTAAACTTTTAATTAAGAACACTGTGATAGCTTTAAAATTCTTTTCCGCGGGTAATTTGTGTACGCTCCGTCAATTAACCAATAATACAAAATCATACAAGCAGGAACGGAATGAAATTATTAGCTTTCCGTTCACTATTTTTCAATACCCTGTTTATCGCTGTCAGAAGTAAGTCTTAATTAAAGAAGCGAACACTAAAAAAGCATACAAATCAATAAATAATTAACATGATTATTAACATTTGAATCAATCAAAAGAAAGTGAATCTTTCTCACAAAGACAATAATTTGTGCAACAAAAAGCGACCAAATAGAAGGGGTTTTTATACTCTCGCAACATGTTGCTACAGAGTATAATAGTTTTGTTCACCTAACGGTTGTTTATATCAACTATCCATCCTGCAATCCTGCCCCTAAAACTGTGTAGCTAAAAGCATTAAGTTCCACACTGTCATTTAAATAACAAATTTACTTAAACATACCCTCAAGGAAAGTAAAAAAATAAATAAAATATAGTTTAAGGTTATGGCCAAGAATTTGGCTTTATTATAAAAATAGGGGTTTGTCATTATGTATTAAAAATGATTTCGGGCAAGTGTCCACGCATGTAAATAGCCCAGCGCTGTTAAACGCACGATCTAGGAGGCCCACCACGCTCTCCGAAAGTTTCCTTCAATAAATTAATTGTTGAACCAAAGATTGTCCATATCACCATCCTCCAATTCAGACACGAAAAAGTCAATAATCATGGCTACGCTCTATTGGCTCCAACATTATGGCCGGCCTCATTTTTGAAGGAATATAAACCAATAATTCCCTTTGAAGACCAATAATTCCCCTAGAACACACCAAACAGTGAATTTTTGAGGATTTAACAGCGTCTCAACAATGCCTTGTGGATTATCATCACTACAAATTTGATAATTTCGCTTATTAACATACCCTTTCAATCAAAAGTGAGCTTCATCGCTAAACAAAATTTCGATTTGAAAATCGAGATCAGTGGCCTGCTTGTTTTGGGCCCATTTGCAAACGTTGTTACGGAGTAAGTCTAAAGAAACACCCGTTATACCCTAATTATAAAATGAACAACAAACAAAAATTCTGGATCCCTTGACTATGGATCCACCTAAATATTGTCGGTCGATTTACGGTCTATTCAAATAGTTTCTCTCAAAGTCAACTAGACTGATTTAAATTCTAAAAATGTAAAACATCACATTCTTTTTCGAATAATATACAGTACAATTACCATACATTACCAATTAAGTAAGATTAGGGATTGGATCTGTAGGTTCCTATAATTGGAAAACTTAGGTGACACGTTAGAGTGGAATCTTCTTTCCTTACTTCTATATGTATAATATTACTCAAACTGTTACAGTAACTTTTCAAATATTATGTAATAACTATAAACTCACCAGTAAGAAAATTACTCTATCCACATTCATATAACTGAGGAAGTAGCTGCAGCTGCTTTAAGGTCAAATCTCGAAGTAAATAACCCAGTTGTTATTGCAGCCGTGAAGTGAAGAGCAAGTGATTGTTTATTTATACATTCATTATTCTTATTATTATTATTGTTATTAATTTAAATTTTCTTTCATAGCAATTTAGCTCTTGCTGCCGGTGTTTTTACTTTTGGAAACAGCCGCTTGTCACTTGATGCTTGTTACACAAAGAGACGCACTCGACTCTTTTAAATGCTGGTTGCTGCTTCTTGTGTGTTACAATTGTTTTGGTTTGGTGAAATGTGTTTTGTTTTTGTTTTTTATTTTATTTATTTTTTTTTTTAACTTTTTCATATACATATGTACACTGACAATTGTAATGTTTTCTTTACACTACATATAATTTTTTTGCTATTATTATTTTTGCCATGGACTTTGACTTATTTGCATACGAAAGCAAAGTACGATGGCCAGTCGTGGAAGCAGACGGTTGTGGACTGGTCGCGAGTATCTTGTAGATACTTACCAACTCTTAGATATACAAACATATGTTTGCTCATTTGTGCTGATATGTATGCATGCATGTACGAAATCTGGCCTCTTCGTGAGTCTTACTTGTATATTTGGATCTGTGAACGCTTTACGTGCCTACATACATACATATATAGACAGTGATATAAGTATGTATGTACATATCTACACTTTAACGTACAAGTATATATTGCTTCTTGAGAGTTTTTGGTGTATATTTTACTTATTTTCGAGCACTTAAATTACTTTTAATGGGACACGTTAAATGGGTCGATGCGAAACCAACATGAAGGCATATTACGCGCATTTTCGCCACTGCCACTACCGCAATCAAAGCTGTCACTCCGCCCCGCAAATACAATTTTTAAATTTTTCATTTCTTTCCTGTTTACTCTGCACATGATTTCGAAATAATAACAACTCTAGAAGCTGAGAAGCATTCAAGCATCTTCGCCTGGCTTTCTTCCAGGGAATACTACAACCAATGCTTGGATTTCAAATAAAAATTTTCGGTTTGAAACAGGTTGGAGTTGAAAATGAGGCTAAACAAATATTAAATTAAAGCAACTTGACTTGTTCTTACTGAGCTGAACGTAACGAAAATAACCTGCGAGAAACCAAACCTTCTTAAATATTTTAACCAAAAATGCTGAAAAGGAAGTGCATTTATTCACATAAATGATAAGTGCGCAAAACAGCCGCAATCAGAAGTAAAGCCGATAAAAATTAAGCCGTGGCACGCTAAAGAGACCCCTGATAAACACAGAGCTTGCTCGTAGTTGTTATGGTAAATCACCCGTTTCGAGTCATTAAAAGTTTTTGATTACATACTTGTATTTTACTTTGTTTATCTTAAAAACAGAAACAGAACAGAAACTTTCCTAGCTTCCAAATTTAGCAACACCACCTTGGCTAAGACGGAACGAAAAAACAATTTTAAACATCAGTTTGAAACAAAAAAAAAGAAAACATGTAACTAATTAAGTGATTAGGCCAATCTAAGACGAAGAAGGACGCACATATTATACGTAGCATGACTATTTTTTGAAATATTTCAAACGCTTTCGTTTCGAAAATTTTGAAAGCCAACTTTAACTGAGCCATTAACTGCGTCTTAATTTTAATTTTGGCCATCTCAAGTATCATGTGCAATCAAACAAACAGTGATCAGAAGCTCATTTCAGAGTGCTTTGATCTGTTTCTGGCACACAACTAATTATTGCTCACTAACCAATTCTCTCCTGGGTTGGCCAGTTGGCAGTAGGCATCCCACTACGTCCTGTATATTCCTACATCCACACTCATATGTATGTGTGTATGTGCGGACCTGTCGCCCACTGGCCGACGTCCGGCACTTTGCAATTCGACCACTGCCAAAAACACACGCAGCTGCCTGCCGCACTATCATCAAGACGCCCATGCAACTAAGTTTCACGCCTCTTCAACAAGCGTGCACGCGCACACACATCTATACATGCAAGCGAATAAGCTTACGAGCCAAAGTTTATATATTTCTACTTTTTTCTTCACTTGAACCACATATATGAGCACTCACTAAAACACATAGGATTCGCACAAACGTTGTGCTTTTTACCCAATTTAAATCTCTGTTTCTCGTGTTTCATTTCGGCTGCTGCAATTATCATATCCACTGGCAGCCTTTTTCGACTGTTATTGTAATGTGGTTGTCGCTACATTTCCTATGAATATGTGCGGACACATTTCGTGTTCCGACTCGCGATCCCTTGGATGCACAAGTACTCGCACAAGCTCACGTGTGCGCTCCGCACATTGGCGCTATAACCTGATGCTGCAGCGCAGAGAACACAAATATACGGCACAGAAAAGCGTACGACCCAGCACAAACTAACGCCACGTAATTCCATACGACACAGGCCACAAACTTACTTAGATTAAAACCAAACAAAGCGAAGCGCATTTTTACGTCTCCACGCGACGCGGCGCACTTTTGTAATGACAACTGGCGCTCGAGTGCACGCGCTAGTCTTCCGGTGGCGTTCGTTGGCACACTCCGGGTGCTCTCGCCGTCGGCCATTGGCAAGGCGCCACTCCGCACTTAATAGTAGATTTAGCACCCTTTTCTCACCTGTATGCATTCACACATGCTCTCTTTTCTGCGTACTTACTCGCGGCATCAAATGCAATCGCTTTCGCGCTCCTAGCTGATCAGCAGCAAGCGTTGAAAGAGAGCACAAAATTAGATGTATTTGAGAGCATAATTTTGGCAAAGAAAACTCATCTTGTCACCTCTGTGAGTTAAATATTACTTCGCTGCCGCGGTTTTTTAAAATTTCGTTTTTATTTTTGGCGCCTTTTCTAAACCTTTCATCTTCCGCATCAATTACTACCTTATACAGTTTCCACAAAATGATATTAGAGATTTTTCTTAACATATATACATATATCGTTCTTGTATGTCATGAAATAGTAATACAAGTGTTATTACATAACTAGAACTCTGTTAAACATAAAAATGCTTATGTCATGAGCCAAACAAATTTTTTTTTGCAAATAGTCCATTTGGATATATTTTGATTATAAAATGGTCGCCTTAAAGGTTGTGTATCCACAACAAACGTTAAAAACTTTTTGATTTTAATTCCTAAGCATAGAGTATATCTATGTTTGTAATTTTTAACTTATTTAGCTAAAATGTTAAATAAAGATGGACTAAGGGCATAATAATTCTATCAGAATTTAAGATTCGTATTAATTTCTTTTATGTATGTTTATCATTTAAGCTTAAAAACGCAACTTAATTATTAGGTAAAGAGGCTGCTTTTTCGTGATGCCATGAATAATCTAACTTGGACAGCTAGAGACGCGTGTCCATTGTGATGCCCAGAACTCCTAGGTATGGGTATGGATCAAAAATATATCGACCACAAATTTTTTTAGCAGAATTATTCAAGCCAGCCGCGGCGGTCACATATTACCTAAGGTCAAGCCTTCCACTTAGCAAGACAGGTCAAACTTACAACTACATATTATATGTATGTAAGCAGATGTTACTCCAATCACTTTTATGCTTTTAGTTTGTTTCACAAGCACTGGGCGACTAACTCAGCAGGCCAACTAGATTAATTGTAATGTAAACTCGTTAATTAGATTGATTATATTTCTATATCGGGTTTTTTCTTAAATCTTAAATGTACTATTGTCTAAGCTGTGCTTCTCCAGGTAGAACTTATTAAAATCCTTTATTGGCATTTCGGTAGTTTATATACTATCTACAATACATATTGTACATATCTTACATTAGATTATAAACCTTAGATTGCATTGCGGAAAGTCGTCTTCCAGGTACCGACTCTATTTTCGCTTATCGCTAACTTGGCTGCACTTTTCAGCTACCAGCTTGGGGTTTGTTCTTTTTTCGATGGGTGTAGATTGAAATAAAAATGCTGATTTGTTTAACGGATAAACAGCAGATCAATGCTACCGTTTTAATGTAGGGGACCAGTAAACCACCGACATCTATTACCGAAACAGTAGACATGTAAGAGACACAGCCGAAAAGCCAATAACGAGGCAACAAGAACAACAGCGCTCTCGGATGCTCAAAGTAAGAACCGTGAAACCGCAATTTTGTCTGTTCAAGTATGTACTTTTTGGGTTTCTCACTGTCAGTTGATTCAATTTTGTTGCTGATGCTGCTGGTTACCCTGCGGCGGCTACCACACATGAGACATCTATCACACATATTGTTAGTATTAATTTTATTTGCGACGGATGTCTACATACTGATACATTATGTGTATATAAATATTAACATGTTTGTTGAAAGTTTAATACAGGTACACATACTGATGCACATTTAGTTGTTGGTTCCACAGTAATTTAAGTATTCAACCGGCACTCACAAAACAAAGTGGTATGACTTAGCCATTGTTGCAGCTGCCGGTGGTGAGGACCACCGAAATTCAAACTAATGCAAAATAAATAAATATATATAAGTCCCGTTTACTCGACTACTCCTCACACATCCTAACTACCGCTATACAAAGCATTGTCGTTTGTGATATTACTGTCAACTACCGGTGTGGTTGCTGTCTTGCAGTCCATGTGGATATTTGGGATAAACGAGCGCCGTTGGGAAACAGGAGTAAGTTTTCAGCTCATACCCCCAACATGTTTCACTCAACGTATTAAAATTTTATTTACCGTCATGGAAAAATGCCGTTAGTCCATTACATATGTAGTACATACATAGGAAAGCATCCAAGCGTAGAGACAAATACATAAATTAAACCACATGCTACCAAGATCATCAACTGCAGCAGAAAACATGGAATAGACAAAGTAACTTCGATTACAACAGGTGAGGATAGGATCTAATAATATATAGTGTGTAACAGCCGCATGGTAATATTAGAAAGATAAGCAATATTTGTCATTTCAATAAAAAATTTAAAAGAAACACCGCCCAAAATTCAACTTTTCCTCCTGAAACTGAAACAATCAACAAAGAAATTATCTGTCATCTGTTCCAGTAAGGAGATTACGATGTATAAACATACTAAAACCAATACAATTATGTGCAGATCTAATTAGGTTATTTTATTGTGTCCTTTGATTAGTTAAAATTTGCTCCCCCATGTTTTGTTAGAGGATATTAACTGTCAAACTTATGTTTCTTATTTCAGTTACCATAAACCTATAGTTACAATAATAAAAATTCTTGAATAACCTACATGTGTCGTAAGATAATAAAATTTTTTAAATAATATTAACTTCTCATTTATTCAATAAAAGAAAACAATTTGTGTTTTTATCGGTCATCACGCTCAAAAAGTTTAACTTTAATTAGTATCAAAGAAAACGAAACACTGCATAAAAAATAAATAAATAATTATAATTGCATAAGTTGATAAAAATATGCTATGCAATAGCTTTACCGCGGCAGTCTCCGAATGCCACACATATCTTTTCTTTCTTATTGATCGTTTTAATTAAAATTAAATATACTTTTTTTATATATATGTTAGGAAAATATATCCAAAATTTAAGTAAACAAAATTGTTCGTAAAAACTTATTAAATTCGTGTTAGTCTGGCAAAGCCAGATTTGTCTAATCCCATTGTTGTCAATTCGAATACTTGTTTCATTCTCATCTGTTTCAGTGCTGCAAGTGGTTCTATGACTATATATGTTGTTTACCTTTTGAGTAGAATTATTAAAAACATAAATTGAAATTTAATTTATTATTATTGACACGCAAGCATTTTAAAGGTGAGATATTCAAAATTAAATAATATGCTTAAAACCCGTATGAGTTAATTGGAATACGTACAGTCTGTGCGTGTCAGTATAAGGGCGTGACTTAAGCCACACCTAAGTTGATTCAATCAGTATAAAGCTGGGCTTAAATTGATTTGCATTTTTTGGATGATACCAATTTAAAAAAGAAAAAGTTTCATTAATTTAATTATTTTGCAGCGAAATGGTTGTTTTGGAATCCTGTTGGTCGCCAATCATTTGGTCGAATTCTGTGAAAACCGGAAGTTATGCAGTGGCGTTGTATACAGCGGCGGTATCAGTGGTTTTTATCACATTGGTATACCAATAAAATAGCGTTCATTGTAGCAATTATATAAACCATTAAATTTTAGATCAGTTATATGTTATCGGGTGGAGAATCAGCTCAACTGTATTCACCACTTTTTGAAACGGATATTAGGTATTCGATGCCAGTCTATGGAGGGATGTTCATATCATACTTTTTACTCCTTATAATCGCATCGTATTTTGTATATTATGGAATAAAAATAAGGTAACATCATATATTTTATTAGTTTTATATTTTTTTGGTCATTCATATTCGATTATAATTTTTTCTCGATATTCGCAAATACCATAGCACACGAGGTTGGTTACTACCCTGGCTTATTTTAGTCGGCTTCGGAATATTATTCCAGTTTTGTTGGGGCCTTTGGCTTATTGGCGGCTACTATATATATGTAAGTATCGAATGTGTGATATAATTACAGTTATATTTATTTTATATTCACAGCTCGAGCAAACCTTTTCCGCTCTTCTAAATTTTTGCTGGATGGCTTACAATGTAACTATAAATGTCATGTAGTTAATAAGACAAATTTCGTAATTGCAATATAATTGCAGATTTATTGCTGGTTGTGCGTGTTCTCACAGTACCAATTATTTTTGGAGATGCAAAATCCTAATATCGTTCTCTTGGAGCCATTTTGAGGTGTTCGAAAGTCTACTTGCAGATCTACTGTATTCGAATGAAACTTTAGTTGCTAAGATGTAAAGACATTTACATATCGAGTGTAAAACCTATCACACCTTCATGTATATGAAAGCATTTATTTATGCTTCTAAATGCAAAGAAGAGAAGACTTAATATTCCGTCCATTTTTTATAAAAAATAGATCTTTAAGATAAAATTATTATAGGCCTCATATATTTCTATTTTAAATTTCAACTGAACGAGATGATATAAATGCTACAGCACCATTTTTTTTTAAATTTTATTGCGAAGAGATAAATCAATTGTCTTCATTAATAAATGATAAGCTTTCCTTAAGACGCAAACTATTTGGTATGCCTTAAAATATTTTATTAAACATTTTTAATCAACAAGCATTGTATTTGTATTAACTCAATAAGTGAAATCTTTATATTCTACGGAAATACGTCGAACTTATAAAGAAAAGAATTTTAATGTAAAAAGTAAACGGCTATATCTCCGACCTTTTTCGCTTCTTCTCTGCAAGGAGCCTGACACTCTCCCTCACACATTCCGATGGTCAATAACCCAAAAACTTTTGTCGTTACATTAGACAATCTGTGCTCCTTTACTCCTCACACGAGAGCGATAACTGCCAAAGTACAGAGCCGCAAAAAAATCCTCAATTCGCTTGACGGCAGCTCTTGGGGAAATTACAAGGAAACGTTGCTAGCAACATACAAGGCAATCACCTGGCCGGTCTTAAATTTTGCTTCTCCAATATGGTCGACTGGATGTAGTGGAACGCAGACGAAGAAGCTTCAGACTTGTCAAAACACTGCACTCTGGACTATCACGGGATGCCTCTTGATGTCCCCAATCGAACACCTACACAGTGAGGTCCGCATGTTTCCGGTAAGGAACATAACGAGCTCCTTTCCAAGCAGTTTCTGTTGGGATGTTTTCGTAGAAATCACGCTCTCAGTCGTCTGCCTGAAGAGGAACCACTTCCTAGGAACATCAAGAGGTCCATCCTTGATTACGTCGACGACATTAGACAGTACGCCGTTCACAGTGGAGCCATCAACACCTTCACCGACTCCCTCTCAGTGAATGGCGTACTGGGAGTCAAACCACCACCCATAGCAGACGTAAAGCTTGAGTTGCCTCGTGAAACTAGAGTGACCCTCGCGCAACTTCGTTCTAGATATTGTAGCAGGTTAAACACCTACTTACCCAGAATAGACCCCGAAATACCAAATATATGTCCTGCGTGCAATGAGTCTCCGCATGACTCTCACCACCTCTTTGCATGCCCAACGAACCCGATTCATCTAACACCAATTTCAATATGATCCGACCCCGTCGAAACAGCTCATTTCCTCGGCATCCCGTTAGATGACCTCGAAGACAACCAAACTATATCTTATCACCCAAGCGGGGACTAGGTATCCGTTGCAACAACATAAACAGCACCTCTGAGAAAAGGTGTATGGCGGCAAGGAGCGCTTTCCTGTCTAAAATAATCTCAAATTCAAAAACAAAAAAGCTTTATTTTTACTACAGATGGATACAGGTAATGGTCGAAGGACTAGTCGAAATTTTACTTTTTAATCTTTCGATCATTACCTGACAAATATGTCTAACGAGGTAGTGTCGAAATATTAAGTCGACCGGTCTTCAGCGACCCTGAAAACAGCCTTTCGAGAAAAACGCATTTAAAGTTTTGGGAACCTTTTGCATTAACTAAAAAATTTTCTTACAACAATGCTCATATCCACGAAACTCTTTTTAGATATACTTCAAAAGAAAAAAATGGATTAGATATAACTCCTTATATTTAATGTGGCGAATTATAAAAATTTGGAATCTTAATTATTAGCCAAGTTGAATTTATTGAGATCTGGTTAGACTAATATGTCAAATCCACTCTGGCATTGCCACATATGAAGTCTCTGAAGTCGTCGTCAGTTTATTTTGTATTGGGCCGAATAAATTGTATATTTACGTGTGATTCAAAAAATTTTTGTTTTGGCTAATGAAAACCCATTTCAGTTTATATATCTGTTAAAATATATAAAATGTATCAAGAAATCGTTGAATAGTAAACAACTTAAATTTATATATGTGAAGGTTTAAATAATTGAACACGAAATTCACATAGTCGGGCATCATAGAAAATAAATAAATGAGATAACAAGTTTGTTAATTATTTCAATGAGGGTTCCGAATTTCGTGCAAGGGAGATAAAAGTCTTGAACTCATTTATATCTCAAACTACTATCTTTCTCGCGCAAATGAGACTTGAGGTGCTGTCAGCTGATGACTTGACAAGTGCTTCACCTAGTTGGCTTTTTCTTGTCAAATATGAATATTTGTTTGTCTCTTTTGGACCGTTTATTTCTTCGTATTGTAATACTGTCGTTTTATGAAGTGTTATCGGTTTCCTGGTGTATTGTTGATGATTCCATCCGATTTGTCAATATATTTCGTTGACTTTTAGTAAAAAATTTTACGCGCAAGGAAAAAGATCATTAGAAACAATTGGAATATAATTTCAATATTGAATAAGGGCGAATAACGTAGAGTGTAAAGGCAATAAGAAAACGTATATAGATATAAGTGAAGAAGAAGCAATAGAAAACGGTAGTAACATACACGAATAAAAACGCATCAAAGAAGAATTGCAGAAAAAGGTAAAACGAAACGATTTCAAGTTGTGTTCGTGTAATAAGGAAAAAATTTCGCTGCCGAGTTAAAATTTGTAAAAATTGTTAATTTCATTGTTGAAAAGCGTAAAAACGCTATAATAATAAAAGGAAAATGTCAACACCTGCACGCAGACGTCTTATGAGAGATTTTAAAAGGTAAGAACAGAAAACTTCGTGAACACGATGAGTGATACTTGCTGAAGTTCAGCCCAATTTAGCAATGAGAATCACCTATGGAAGTGATTTTCGAAATAACGCAGAAGAAATTATTAAAAGAGGTGCATATGAAAAATTTACGTGTGATATTTTCTTCACATAGTTTTTATTTTGGCGTTTTTTTTTGTTTTTGTTTTTTTGTTTGCTTATGAATATATGAACATTACACTTACGTATGTAATTCTTCGTTTTACGTTTCACTTGGCCACAGAAATGTTGGCATTGGCATTGTGAATTTAGTTTTTTCTTATACATATTTTACGAAACTTTTACACTTTCCCGAAAATTCGTCCAAGCCTCATGTTATGACATGGTAATTGTTATTGGGTTTGACTTAAAAAACATATATGTATATATATTTACCAATTTACATAAATTAATTTTATTAACATATCAGATGATGCATTATCATTAAAGAATGCAATGGTTGAAAATATATATGCATATTTATTTACTGCAACGTATTTATCCAATAAACATTTGTTTTAAATTCAAGTGGCTTATTGATTACATGATACTTTTTGCTGCTTCCTCTTGATTTTCGCTTCCTAGTTCAGGGCTTGTATGACTCCACTTGTGGGTACAGAAACGGTAGACATCTGCCTTGACTCATCTGTTGAGCTAATCACATATTTTCTAAATTCAGTTTGCAAATATATGTAAAAAATTGTTTTTGCTTTACTACTCATAGCAAACAAAATAGAAAATTCAAAAGGAATGTGCATAGTGTATGTTCGTGACTCTTTAGATACACATAACTGTATATTACCAGCCCGTCCTTGAAGTTCCGAAATATAAACATTGGATTGTACAATAGGCGAAATCAGGTTTTAGTATTGCTTTACTTAAGATATTGAATAGTTTTCTGATTCGGACAAAATTTTTAAGATATGTGCATATAGTGTTCATTCATCCAATCATATTTACTATACCTAATATTTATTATTCAAAATAATGTCTCTTGTATCACAGCAATCTCTAGTTTTGCAAAAAGTTTTCTTTTACAATCTATGTATGTTCTTAACATATCAATTTCTTTTCATGAGTTAAAAGTTTTTGACAACCTGCTTCTTTGAGTACAAATATACGTATTATTACAAATGTTTGGTTCTAAAGCTGCATTAATAATGCATTAGTCATTATAATTACTATTTTTTGTGTGCGTCCTAGTTGGAAGAACTTCAAAATTTGTTTTAATCGTTAGCGTGAATAAAAATAAATAAAATATTTATATAATTTTAAAAAATTATACAATTATACTCGTATATGTATCTTTTGCAAAGCTACAAATGTGTAAGCTTGTTCGATACTATGGTAGCAAAATTATAATAGTTTATAAATTAGTTGCTGTTGTATTACAGTATGCATTCTTACGTAGAGACATACAATATTTGTCTGGTTGTTTACATTTTCCTACATATATCGCCAATATATTATATAGATTTGCTTGTACACAGCATTCTTGAAAATTTGATTGCCATTACCATACTTGCCCTACAGTTTGGCCCATTTGATTTTTTCCTAAATTTACATATTAAAGGTAATTTACTTCTCGATCGTACGGACGCTTTCTATACGCTTCTGTATGTGAAGCCGTAGGAATTGGCACGTTTTGTTATGGTGTTAATTTAAATTAGTAAAATCAAAAAACCAAATGTCATGAAATCATATGAAAAAAATATTATTTAAATTAAATTAAACATATACATATTAAATATACGTATGTCCCATATGTTTCTTACCAGTTATCATTTGGGCTGATGATGCCATATGATTATTATAATTACTCATCAGATAACATCCCAATTAGAGTTAGTTAAGAAAGACAAACCTATATACACGGATTGTTATACTGCAAGGACTGCAACAATACTGATAATACATATATGTATATACTGATCTATTTGTACCCAAATGTATTGTACTATATACCTCTTCATACCTATATGTACATATGTATGTACGTGCATATATGTATATCCTGTTCACAAAATAATAGCAGTGCCAAATAAAAAATGTGTTTGGCTGAATAAGTTTTCTGGATCACATACGACGAGGTACAATAGCGATAAACATAACGAGATATTGACATTTAAACACAAAACAAATTTTTAATGTGATGATGGTTATTCTCGCTCAACATTGCTATTTCTCGGAGACCATTGTAAATAAACTATAAAATAGGAGAGTAAGACATTTCCTTTCTAAAATAAAACTTAACCTAAAAAATATTCGCAAAATTAGAAAGTAAGTAAAGTTCCATAATCTAGCAATAATTTAATTAGTTATTGTTAATTTTGATCATTGGATATTTTTTTAGTGGAGGAAATAATTCTAAAGATGTAAAGTAGGCCAAAAAAAAATTAGGAAAACTACGAGATGGGTTTAAGGAAACCCCAAAAATTGAATTATTTTATTATTCTGTAAAGGTTTGAAACCATTTTAATTTACATTTTTAAAAATTTTTCATACAATATATGAGGTATGTTAAAATATAAACGGTTTTTTCGTTATTTGGAAAAAATATTCATTGGTCTACATTAATGATGTCGCCTTTAAAATAGTCCACATTCGCTCTTAATCCCGCGAAATTTTAAATATTGAATTTCCTGTTTTTTTCTGAAAACACCTCGTAAAATACTGCTATTTTTATGTGAAACAAGTTTTCCAGTTTATTTAACATAAACTACGTTATCAAATTTTGTTTAAGTTCAATTGAAATATATATAGACTAATTATTAATAGTGAAGCAAATTTTCTTTTTGAAAATTCAAAGTTTCGTTTGGTCCTATGGTCACTCTTATTTTTTTGTGAACAACTGTACAGGGTCATATATGTACATACATACCTGCATAGATGTATAAATATAAAAAAAATATTTATTTACATATAAATGAGGTGAAAGAACTAAGAGGTACTACATGGTATCGAAAACATACGCTCATATATATGAGTATATACATATGTACAGTGCTGTGCCTAACGAATGAAACAAAAGAAATACGAGCCAAATTTTTGCTTTTCTTTTGCTATTTTATAACCGAAAATAGTGTAGGGAAGTATGTATTTTAACTGAAATATAATTAACTTAAACATTAGTCGAAGTAAATTGGCATTTGTAAGCCCAACAAACACAAATTATTTACAATATATTAAGTCTTATTAGACATTATCCCATTACTATTTGAAAACTCGGAATGAAGTTGTCATATTGAAAGTCACAACAAAGCGATTTTTTCAACTTTGAATACGGTACTATTGAGGACACCTAATTTATATTTGTTGTTGATATTATTGTTTTTTAATCGGTATTTAGTTTCAAGTTAGTTAAGTATTGTCATGGACGACATCAACACTGTATACATCTGTACATATGTATATTTGACTCAAAATAGTATCAATTTTGGTTGAGATAAAACTTCACAGAAATTATTTTCCAGTTAGAAAATCCGAAAGCATTCACTAACAGTCTTTGCTTTAATTGCAGACTTCAAGAAGATCCACCAACTGGAGTTTCTGGAGCGCCAACAGATAACAATATTATGATTTGGAATGCTGTGATTTTCGGTCCACACGACACCCCATTCGAAGACGGTACCTTTAAATTAACAATAGAATTTACGGAAGAGTATCCAAATAAACCGCCAACGGTTAGATTCGTATCAAAAGTATTTCATCCGAATGTGTATGCAGATGGTGGAATTTGCTTGGACATCTTGCAAAACAGATGGAGTCCCACATATGATGTTTCAGCTATTCTAACATCTATACAGGTGTGTTGCAAATAATACAAATATTCTCAGCACGTCAACAAGGGATGAATACTTATCTTTAAAAAATGTTTAAATATTTATTTTCAGTCTCTATTAAGTGATCCGAATCCAAATTCACCAGCTAATTCCACAGCTGCTCAGCTCTATAAAGAGAATCGTCGCGAATATGAGAAGCGAGTGAAAGCTTGTGTTGAACAAAGTTTCATCGACTAGCCATCCGCCACAGCAGCTACAACACGCAAATCAACTGCAGCTACTAATGCAGTAGGAAGAAGAACTGTAACTGCAGCATCTACAATGTTTTATTGATATAAAATTCGAAGAAAAAAATTAAAATATTAAAATTTAAAATACATATATATATATAATACATAATATACAATACATAAAAACAAAAATCATACACATTCGCACATCTTTTTCAGTCGGATAAGTTCTGTTGCTAAAAACTGCAATAAAAACAAACTCATCGAAGAAAGATGTAAATGCACTCAAAACAAAAAACAAAACTGTATGAATAAATGTGGCAAGCTCGAAATGGAGAACTCATCAACATATTCGTAAAAGTAGCAATGTAATTGCTATGTGCAACTCTTTAATGACTGATTGACATGAAGGATTTGTCGGTAACAATTCAATGTTGAATCGATACTGCGGTTAAAGAAAAAACATACGATTAATGTTGATCTGCGAAATGCTGTTTCGTCGCGCTTCACATCTTCAAAAATAAATAGAATTTGTAGAAGAAAACAATATATTAACAAATAAAAACCTATTACATTAATATGTGTATGTACCTTAATGGAAAAAATCGTCAGTGTAATTTTGAGTGGAAATTTAGAATATAGAAACACCAACGCTATAAGTGACCGACGTTGTTAATTTTCGACAAAAGCAGTTTAAGCCATTGGAATACATTTAGACGGAAATGTATGTTACCTAACCAGTTGTATTTTTAAGACTTCCTATTTTCAATGTACTATGGTATACGCAGGCTGTTTGATGACGTCAGCAACCTGTAAACCCTGCTTACTTTCTCTCTTGTTAAAACTAACATTGTATGGGTGCTCAAAAGATTTGCATATTAACACTCTCGTTTTAGAAATAAAATCACATTGATTATCTAACTCACCATATTATTACTAATATAAATCACCAGTGTCAATATTGTTAAGAGGAAAATTAAAAAATGTAATTCGCGTCGCATCCATTGTAATTGTTTTGATAGAGAAATTTGATTTGTAGCAAAATTTTGCCGTTGTTCGAAATAAATTTTTGAATTTGCTTTATTCAACTCACTCCTATCACCAATCGCGTTTCATTTTGTTATTTGTTTTGTGCGTGTAATTCTTAAATTATCGTATATTTAAATATGCTACACATGATTCAATAAACAGCAGAAATCATTTTACTATATTTAAGTAATTACAAATAAACAACAAAAGCATATACATATATTTAATATAATTAAAACTATTATAAAAATACATTATAAGAATTACGATATGATAATATAAGTTGTCTCTTATTTCAGTTTTTAAAAGGTCAACTCGAAGTACATATAGGGTAGATTAGATTAGAAAATGAGGTATGCACCGCGATATAAGGTCTATTCTGCCCTCCCGTAGGTCAGAGCGAATCACTAAACCCCAGCACATTGATGAAATCCAATATTATAATATACTGCTAGGTGCTAATGAGGCGATGTGATCCCTATTCGAAAACATGGATCCAAGGGCCTTAAAAGTCGCAGAACCGGCAGTTTGCACAAGAGGCCAGGCCCATGTTGTGTAAGTGCTTCTTGAGCTTGCAATGGCCGGTGTGGAACTCGACAAATAGCCGGAATATATCTCTTGGGAGATTGATTACGATCCTAAACCTGCTGAGGTTGTAATCATCCATTAGCAACCTGGCATGGCGCATGCGTTGAAGTTGTTGCCAATGTCCCTCCCTGCAACCACAATATACGATTCCTTCGACGTTTTCGAGCCGTCGGTGTATCAATTGATAGTGCTTTCCTTTGGCAGTAGGTCCAACGTGGAATCATTCCATTCCACCTTGCTGCTAATGGTAACTTTCAACTTCCCAATGAAGTTAACCAATCCGGTGAAGGTGTCCCTTGGAAGAAGAGCCAATGGTTGGCTGTCAGGCCACCGTCTGATATGTAATAATCGGTCTCACTATCATGGTGTACATTCCACTGATAATCCTTGGGTTGCAGCCCGAGGATTTCCCTGCAAGTCGGTTGCACACCATGAGTGCTTTTGTAGCCTTGACTATGGACAGGTCACATGCTGCTTCCACCGAAGAGTGGAAACCAGCATGAGGACCCGGTATTTGAAGAATTAGCCATCTCCAATTGAATATTTAAAAAGTGGAACATTTGTAAACATTTATGTGAAAAAATTATTAAGGACGCACTAAATTGTATTTAAATGTGTATTTTAGAGACAAGAGACGAAAACCCACAAACAAAAATCAGTTCGAAGAACATACATACATATTTACGGAATTTTCATAGAGAGGAAAAAATATCAGGCATTTATATTATCGGTTCATTTACAGGTTTGGATCGATTTTAAGTTAGCAAATATAAAAGAGGGGGTGGGTCGTTCAGTCTAGTAACTTTAAATCCACTCGAAAAGAAAGCCAGCGGTACAGTGGTGGGATTAAACGGAATTCAAAATTTTGGATGTTCTCCAGTAACTACAACAAATATTTCAGATGAGATCCCTGCTAAAAGTACCAGTAATAAGAAACCAATTGATGCAATTTATTCCCTGCTCCAAATACACAATTAATCATCATATTTAAAGCCTGTTTGTATGTGTCCCCCTTTTTTGGATTGGGGAGAGCACACTTATACTCCAATCGTTGGCCATGCTTTCATCCGACCATATCCTCCAAAGAAGCTGATGCAATCTGGTAAGTGTTTAACCAACCATCTATAATGCGATGCAGTTTACGGCATATGTGTTCTTTAAAATGAGATTTGAAACCATTATCAAAAAGTAAGTTCTTATATGCAATGATAAGAGACACTAGCAAAATATCGAATTAAACGAGAAAAAGCAACTTTGAATATAAAAGTTGTAACTTGATCTAAGAGCAGCATTGCCTTCGGCATCCCTGTAGGAAAATCTTCTTTCAATTCAAAAATATTTTATACAATTGTGATGAAGGTCCTAAACAATTTGTTACTTGTAGCATTCTTGGTAATAAAACGCAACTTTTCTTATTTATTTGGTACATGA